TTCCAGCCTGGGAGCACAACACCTCCCCTTTTTTTGTTTTGAGTGGGTTCACCCCACTAGCTTGATACCGTGGCGTAGCATGGTAGCGTACTTGATGGCAGGCGCTTCCGAAGGTTCCTCCGGGGGCTGAGTGGTAGGTTCTTCTGAAGGTCCGCTGGGGATCCAGGAAAGGCTCCAGATTCCCACGACGATGAGGATCCCGATGCAGAGCATCCTCGCCAACCTGTAGCCGTACGCGGTCATAGTCGGTTTCCTCGGGGCACAGTTGCTGAAGTAGTGATGTTTGTTCCGACTTTTCCACGTCTTTTGATGGGTTGCTTCTCGGGTCTTGTCTTCCCGGTGGGAGAGGACAGATCTCTTTTTCCGAGTAGTCGCTTGCTCCTCGGGAGAGATTGGTGCGCGATCCGACGTCCGGTGTCCAATATCTCGGAAGCCGTTCCGAGTCCCGCTCTATCGTCGGATTTGTTGGATGACGTCGCAGTCTGTTCTTCGCGTGGTTTTGTTTCGTCCTCTTCAGAGTTGGCTGTGTCCGACAGGGTCTGGAAGCCGCTGAGTTCAGATGCCGCATTTCCTCGGGCATCCGTGGCTTCTACCCAACCACTGCATTGCGGTTGGTCTCCAAGTCCTTCGACTGGGTTTTCAGCGGTCAGAGCAGAACTATTTTCGGGTTCTCTCTGTCGTGTGCTCGGGTGTCCGGTGGCCGGAGTCTCCGGCCTCCGTGGCTGTACCAGAGTAGTATCTTTTTCGCGTTTCGGGTCCGGAATCCCGAAGAAACTCTCAGTGGCTTCCCGTTTAAGGGTAGCTTCCTCGATCTCCATGATGGACGGGCTGTTTCTTGTATCCGTTGCTGGTCGTTCGTTGTTTGTCAGCGAAGGGGCGCCTTCCACGGGGCGAGCTTGGTTCACTAAGCGTTCGGTTTCATTGATGCTTTGTTGGAGGTGTTCTCCGCACTCCTTCGTGAGCGTTTCAAGATGCTCAAAGATCGCCATGGAACGATGTTGAGGGGTTTCACCACCCGTTGCTTGATTACGCGTGAGAGGTCGTCGAAACGGGGGTTTGCTCTTTCCTGACGGCGTGCTTTGCCCTTTTGTTGAGAAGATGGGGGAGTCGAGAGCGAGCTGGATCATGGCGTTATCAAGTTCCACGGAGTCCCGCTGGGGTTGGTATCGTTTCTTCAACTGATTCGCATGTTTTCGAGCGAGATCCCCTGCGATGTCGACTTCATAGTTGACCGCACCTGTGCGTCTCTTCACGACGCCAGGTACCCATGAAGTTTTGTTGTTCCGGAATTGGGTCGCGTAGACCCAGTCTTCCGGCTCGAAAGTCTTCGTCACGGCGCCTTGATGTCGATCGAAATCGTTCTTCATCCTTGCTCTGTAGGATGGGCCTGGTGCGTTGATAGAGTTGATCTTCGCGGCGCTGCTTGGGCGTAGTAGGTCCATTCTTGACCGGAGTTTTCTTCCGACGAATAGCTCTGCTGGGGTTTTGTCGTTGATCGTCCGATTTGGGGTGCTCCGGTATGTCCTCAAGATTGTCCGGATTTTCTGACCTGGTGTCCCCTCCTCTTCCGCCATTTTTTTGAAAGAGCGTTTGAATGTGTCTACGAAACGCTCTGCCTGTCCATTCGACATAGGGTTGTACGGGGCGGTGAAGATCTGTTTGATTCCTCTTTGCACACAGAAGTCTTTCGTTGTAGAGGCCGCAAATTGCAGGCCGTTGTCGGTCACTAATTCCTCCGGATAGCCGTATCGAGAGCAGACTTCGTCGAGAAGTTCGATGGTTGCTTCCGCCGTTATTTTCTTTGTGGGAAGCACTTCTGGCCACTTTGAAAAGGAGTCGACTATTATGAGATAATAGACCCCCTTCATGGGACCTGCGAAGTCCGCGTGGACCCTCTTCCATGGTTTCCCCGTGTCGGGCCATGGCTCGAGTGGTACTTTCTTTGGCATTTTCCCTGCTCTTTGGCACTGGTCGCATCTCCTCACGAGATCTTCTATGTCTTTGTCCAGATTGTTCCAGAACACGTATTCTCGCGCGAGAGTTTTCATGCGAGCTATACCAGGATGGCCCTCGTGAAGTGTTATTAGGATATTCTCCTTCAGGGTTCGTGGGATCACCACCCGATTGTTGTAGATGAGACAACCGTCTACGATGCTGAGGTTATCCTTTCTGGAGTATAAGTTGAACAGGTCGTTCTCTTTCGTCAATTTTGGCCATTGTCCTGTAGACACATGGTCCATTGCCGCTTGAAGCAGAGAGCATTTCTTTGATTCTTGCCGCACTTGTTCCGCAGTGATTGGCATTCGATTGATGCTTGTCTGGAGTTCGGCTTGGATTTCTTTTTCCACGCGGGCGATCACTTTGTCTTCCTCGTTGCTGTCCGTCTGACGAATGCTGATGAGTCGACTGAGCGCGTCCGCTTCTCCGAAGTCGGTTGTTTTCTTGTATTGGATATCGAACGTGTAATCCAATAAAATGAGAGCCCATCTCTGCAGGCGGTTGGCTGCGTGAGCCGATATTCCGCTTCCTTGTTTGAAAATTGTGATTAGCGGTTTGTGGTCTGTGTTCAGAGTGAACTTTCGACCGTACAAGTATTTGTGAAACTTCCGAACGGCGAAAACTAACGCGAGGGCCTCCTTTTCGATTTGCGCGTACTTCCTTTCTGTTTCTGTGAGTGATCTCGCCGCGTGTTGAACGGCTTTAACAGAGCCGTCTGGGAATCGATGGAATATCACGCATCCGAGGCCATAACTTGAGGCGTCCGCTGACACTATGATCGGAAGATTTGGGTTGAAATGAGTCAGAAGCAGGTCCGACTGTAAGATTGTTTTAGCTTTTTCGAAAGCTTTCTCACAATCGTTGTTCCACACGAACGGAGTGTTTTTCTTCAACAGCTTATTTAGGGGTTCGCGGAGTTCAGCCATGTCCGGAACGAAGTTATTGTAGAATGTTATCATACCAAGAAAGGCTCTCAATTGGCTGATGTTCGTAGGCTTCTGCAGAGCGACAATCGGTTGTATTCTTTCCGGATCTGGCTTTCGACCCTCCTTGCTGAGGATGAATCCGAGGTATTGGATTTGGCTCTTCATGAAGCTGCACTTGTTGAGTTGAGCTTTCAGTCCGAATTCTGCCAGTCTTCCGAAGAGTTTCAAAATTCTATTCTCGTGTTCGGCCTTCGTTTTGCTTGTAACGATTATATCGTCTAGGTATGCCGTGGTGCCTTCGAGGTCCGCCACCAGCGTGTCCATCAAGCGTTGAAAGATGCTTGGGGCCGTTTTGATGCCGAAGGGGAGTCTTTTCATTCTGTAGAGTCCCTTCGGGGTGTTGATCGTCAACAGCTTCTGACTTTCCGCGTCCACAGGAATTTGCAGATAGGCCTCACTTAGGTCGATTTTCGAGAACCACGTACCGCCATTCAGGGTGCTGAATATGTCCTCTGCGGTGGGGAGTGGGTAGTTGTCGTCCTCGATTGCTGTGTTGAGGCCTGTTGAGTAGTCTGCGCAGAGACGGATGCCTCCGCTGCTTTTTCGAACTACTACAACTGGAGCCGCGAACGCCGAACTGTTGACCTTCTCGATTACGCCCGTTGATTCCAGACGTTCGATTTCTGCTGCGATTGCTGGTAGGATGGCATACGCGACCGGCCTAGCTTTCTTGAATATTGGTGTGGATGACTTTTTGAGCGTTATTTTCGCTTCGTACTTGGTGCACTTTCCCAGTTTCCCGTCTACGATTGACGGAAACCGTTTCTGGATTTTGTCCCGAAGTCCCGTATCAGAGTCTTCTGAGTTGCTTTGGTTCTCTTGGACGGTCGTAATTCTTCTTGAAATTAACTTCGGGTTCAGTATTTGACCATTCTTCTCGTGCTTCATCCAGTCGAGACCCAGTAAGGAGCAGTTGTCCGTTACGTAGCAGTCTCCCGTGAATTGGGATCCTTCAAGATCGACTTGGCATGAAAGAATGCCAGCAGTTTCGAGTGTTGTTCCGTTTGCTACGGTCAACTTTTGTGCTGCTGGTCGGAGAACCGGTTTTCCCAGTAATTTGTAGGTTTTCCGGTTTATGAGGGTCACCTCAGCACCTGTGTCAATTGCCATACGCGTCGGGCATCCATTGATGTGGACCGTAGTGAAGATTAGGTTGCTGTTCGGGTTCTTCCCGATGTGGTTGACCCGGGCGTTTCTGGGAGCTCCTGAGTTCGGAGGTCTTCCACCCCTGCAGACTTTTGCAAGGTGCCCTTTCTTGTTGCACTTTTTGCACGTTTCATTCTTGAATTTGCACTTGTTGCACTCGTGGTTTGTTCCACCGCACCTGTAGCAGGTGTATTGTCTCTGGCCTTGCCGTGGGGTAAGTTGGGTTTGCTGTACCTTGTAGACGTTTCCTTGAGGCTTCGCCCCTACGTACGTTGCGTCACGTCGGATATTTTCGACCCTTTTCAGATCGTCGCGAAGCTCATCGAAGGTCGTCTCCGGTTTCGTGTCCAGAATGTTCAGGGCTCGCCAACGTAGCAATGCCTGTTCTGGGTGACCCAAGTTCATGATCGCTACGAAACACTGTATTTCGTCCACCGAACAAGTTTCCATTTCGCTTACTGCCGTTTGCGATTTTATGCGGCCCCACAGGTCTTCTAGTTCCATGGGGTATGCATTCGGCTCGAATAGTTTTAGCCGTCTGCGGAAAAGTGATATCGGCTGGTCGAAAGTGTTTTTAAGCTCATCAATCAGCTCTGTATATGAAAGGTCGCAGACTTTCCTTGGTAGAAGTCTTTTGAAGAATTTATTGTATTCTTCCCTTCCCAATTTCCCCACGATGAATCTGGCTCGCTCGTCGTCGTCACTGAATGAGCTACTTTCAGCTTCGATTGTCGATTGGTACCGGTCGAACCAGGTTTTGAAGGTCTGGTCCGCCTCTGCGTCGTACCTGAATTCTGGAATCTTCATCGAGTCATGTCTGCAGCCCTGGGTTGGTGCTGCTATGCTCTTTGAGGTTGATGCCATTGTCGAATTCGCCAGAGCGGCTCTGATGCTTTCCTGTACTTCTTCTTCAGAGTACATTGCCATTTTCCGGTGCTTTCTTCCTGTTTCCTGCGTTTATGGTTCTTTCAGTTCACAGCTTTCACTACCACACGGAATCCTTTTGGGTTCTTCTTGGGTTGGGCCAGCCAACACAAGTTCTGTCCTCGTCGCCACTTGTTGTGTCGTGAACGAGCTGAAGTCCTGATGGCCACACACACTAGGAGTTGAGGAATTAAAGTCACTTGGTTTTAGAGAGAATACACCGTTCTTGAAAAGGTAGTTAAGTCGAATTGTTTATTCCGAATAGTTCCATAGACACGCACACTGGATGGGAAAGGAGAGTTAACGAAACAAGTGTCGATGTCGGTTTCTCATGAAGTCGAACCTGACAGCTCGCCTGCGCGGCGCTGAATCAGAGGCTGTGCCAACAGAGGGCGCTCGGGTATGCTCAAGTAGAGCAACGAAGAGAGCCCCGTAATAATGTGCTATGATGATAGGGATATGTGAGGATGCTGAACGCTCCGATGGATGGAAATGTAATAATTATGAAGGATAATGGAATATATGGTTCAATAAATGCCTAGACGTCTCGGCCCGGGGCACAGTGGGTTCCAAGTAGGTCGTCTGCTAGTCAGCGACAACACGAACAGACACAGAAACCAGGGGCTCCGCGCGGTAACCTGGGCCCGGGAAGGATTCTCCGGGAATAAGGGAAAAGTCGTGACCTGGGTCTGGAGACTGCGGTCGGTGAAGACCAATCGACTGTCATCATTGCCTGGGGAGCTGGCGATTTCTATTATACTATATGCATACTTGAACAACTCGGCTTCCAGTTCCAAAATCCTCTCGAGGTGGTCGAAATCGGGATTCTTTCCGAAAACGGCTTTCAGCCGAGAGGCGAAAGGTTCCTCGAGACTCCTCTGAATGGAAAATATTATATTAAGCTGAGTTTCCATCGTGATCGAGTGAGATTCTAGAAGCTCGATCGCTCGAGGTATTCCCGAGAAACGAGAAATCGCATGCAACTGACAATGAGTCTCCAAATCTGGGTCGTCGACGAGGGATTTCAGAGCCATGCTGTCCGCGGCTCTCGCTTCGATCTTCGATACAAATAGCTTCAATCTGACGAAAAAATTCAGTCTAGGTTATGTCAGGGACATCACCGTTCCATGCGTGAAAACGTCTTGAGGGTATCGGTGGACGAAATTTCTCATGCGTCATGTGCCTGAAAGGTATTCATTCCGGCTAATCGGGACTGCCGGCGGATAATTGGTCCTCCTTATTCGACCGCATGGGCTAGATTGGTTTCGGTCGAGTGCTGTTTTTGATGCGGATTCCTCCTTGCAACTGATGAGAGGCCGCGGTTACTGTTGTTGTCGTTCATCGGAGAATTTAGTTAGACTCAGCATCGACGGACATGGAATCCATAGTGAGTTGGAATGTGGATGGTTATGGGTGGCGAAGTTGTTTCCGGTGGGTGAATTCGCGAGGATTCTACCTCGTGAGAACCGGACGAGCGATAGCTTTCCGTGCAATCCATTTCGTGATGTGGCCTGGTGTGAGCTTGCTTCCAAATCGGACGTAGAGCGAGGGAGTTGACGCGCAAGGTGCAGACCCGTATGAGAATGACGTCGACATTCTTTGGATGAAAGGATTGATACAGCATTGTTTTACTGATGAAGCAACATCTCATCATAGACCAGCTTTCCCAGATTAGGAACCTTTCGATTACGATGCGACAGACTCGAGGTCCAAAGACATCGTTTTCAGGCAAACTTCATTGTTTAGTCGACTGAATCATTCCACATTGGGGGAGCTTCGGAAATGAAGAGTTTCGAGGGAATGTCTAGAGAACCTCGCCTCAATAATCGAGTAGAACTATTGCATCTTGCTAGTTTTCTCTCTATCGAGCTCCATATATAAAATTCTCCTCTCAAAACCCCACGATAAGCCTAGGATTCACTATTATTTATCAGATTCTGTTGGAAATTTGATGGTCCACTAGTCGAATGCTCAGTCGAAATTCAGCTGTGAGATGAGATACGGTGTGGAGGGATTCACGATGTTGAATAAAAACGCGGGACTTTCGGTTGAGAACACGTCAAGCGAAGTCGGCAACCAGGATAGCCTGAGTAACCAGCCAGAGTGTCTTTATTACATAGACGTATGCTTTTATAGTACAGCGGACAAGGAAGCTATGACAGTCCGCGTAGCCGGGAGAGAGAAACTATCTAGGACGTGCTACATTCTTGACACGGAAAACTGAAAACTGTTACACGGATATAACACTTCTTCCAACACCGGGTATCGCCGAGTGGGTCAAGAGCTACATATTTTCATCATTCTCCACCTAGATCGAAGATCCACTCGCGAAATTCACCCGTTCACCGAGAGCGCTGCTAC